TCAAAGTCATAATTTCGACTTTCAAAGTCATAATTATGAGATTCAAAGTCATAATTATGAGATTAAGAGTCATAATTATGAGATTCGAAGTCATAATTATGAGATTCAAAGTCATAATTTCGACGTTCAAAGTCATAATTATTAGATTCAAAGTCATAATTATGAGATTCAAAGTCATAATTTCGACTTTCAAAGTCATAATTATGAGATTCAGAGTCATAATTATGACATTCAAAGTCATAATCATGAGATTCAAAGTCATAATTATGAGATTCAAAGTCATAATTATGAGATTCAAAGTCATAATTTCGACTTTCAAAGTCATAATTATGAGATTCAGAGTCATAATTATGAGATTCAGAGTCATAATTATGACATTCAAAGTCATAATCATGAGATTCAAAGTCATAATTATGAGATTCAGAGTCATAATTATGAGATTCAGAGTCATAATTATGAGATTCAAAGTAATAATTATGAGATTCTGTCATAATTATGAGATTCAAAGTCATAATTATGAGATTAAGAGTCATAATTATGAGATTCGAAGTCATAATTATGAGATTCAAAGTCATAATTTCGACGTTCAAAGTCATAATTATTAGATTCAAAGTCATAATTATGAGATTCAAAGTCATAATTTCGACTTTCAAAGTCATAATTATGAGATTCAAAGTCATAATTATGAGATTAAGAGTCATAATTATGAGATTCAAAGTCATAATTATGAGATTCAGAGTCATAATTATGAGATTCAAAGTAATAATTATGAGATTCAGTCATAATTATGAGATTCAAAGTAATTATGAGATTAAGAGTCATAATTATGAGATTCGAAGTCATAATTATGAGATTCAAAGTCATAATTTCGACGTTCAAAGTCATAATTAGATTCAAAGTCATAATTATGAGATTCAAAGTCATAATTTCGACTTTCAAAGTCATAATTATGAGATTCAAAGTCATAATTTCGACTTTCAAAGTCATAATTATGAGATTCAAAGTCATAATTTCGACTTTCAAAGTCATAATTATGAGATTCAAAGTCATAATTATGAGATTAAGAGTCATAATTATGAGATTCAAAGTCATAATTATGAGATTCAAAGTCATAATTATGAGATTCAAAGTCAAATTATGAGATACCGGAGCAGTTGGAGACAATTCTCCGTAGAATAACAGCGTGCTCCAACTCCAGTTAAATATGACCTTAAATCCAAGGTCCAACCTTTGCTACTGCGTTAAGAGTCAGTAAAAGGTAGGTTCACCTTTTTTGATTTTGTTTAGATTCCTTCGTTTTGAATGCTTTTTGATCGTGTGGTGTTATGTACATAGTTCGTTGTTTTAGCAACATGAGCTAGCTGCAGGTTAACCGTCAAAGCGTGCTAACCTTGTTATAGCATATTTAACAGGTTTTTTTTAAAGTAGTCCGTTAATTAGATTGTTTTTATGTCAGAGTGCGATAAGAAGTTTGTACTCCAAAAATTCAATAAGTTAATATGTATAATTATTTTGTGGCATTAATCCAAGCAATAGCTAGTAGGTTAAAACAAGCTCCACAGCTTGTTGTATGTACGTTTTGTTATGTGTAACAGCTTCCCCTTATGCCCGTCCCGTCATACACACAAAGGAGGCCAGTTGGTTGAATTTTCTGTAATAAATGGTCAACACAAATTAGCACAGTGAGCTCCACTACTGGTTCACCAGCTCTCCGCATACACAGTAGAGCGCTGAACAGACTGCGTCTAATTTACGGTTTAGCTTTCTATTTATAGGCAACCAGTAGGGGCGCCAAAAACCATTCATCACATAGTAATTACAAAACATTTTAGCAAGAATTTCATCTGTATCTATTACCCGTTACATATGCATAATGTGATTCACTATCTTTCCCATTAAATTGTTTTTGTCGATACACAGACAAGAGTAAAATATGGAAGTACAATATGCATCAGTTTTCAAACTGTTTTCGTAGCATTTTCATGTACACTTATGCTAATGCTGGACATCTGCAGCTTTACATTGACAATATTTACAAAAGCAATTTAAAATAAGAAAAATTGAAAAACAAGAAACTTAAAAAATCCCCCAAAACGGGCAGGCCCTGTTGAAAATTTTAACTCCTCAACTTTACTCAACTTTCAGGATACCTACAAGAGACAGAGGAGGTTCCTTTCACCTGAACCTAAACCTAAACAGAGGTAAGTTGCAACTCTTGTGAAAATCCAATTTATTATATTATCTGTTTAAATGAAAATAATTGAGATCAAAACTAATATTCTGATGATGTTCATGCACTTGACTCTTTTATAAAGATGGAAATTTCATTTTAACAATTGTTCAACCATTGAAATATTTTAGGGGAAAAATGTAATCAGAACTTTCAGACCTAAGCTCTACACTTTACCATTTAGTTGTGGACACACTGGTAGATTTTTCTTTATTACTTTATGTAGTTTCTTTATGTATTGGTTTATTTTTGCAGATCTGTACAGCTGTTTTGTTGTCTATTGTCTTTATTTTAGCAGGAGCTTGAGTCTGAAATACAGTTTCTATCTGTCTTGTAGAGTTGGACAATAAATCAGTTATATGTATCACGATACACACGTGATCGATATCAATAGATAGTAAGTCTGACAGAATATTCAATAGAATATTCTCTGAACTCTGATCCAGAACCACATACCATTCTGGAGGATGTAGGCACAGTCAAGGCTTCTCAACTAGGCCTGTCGCGATAAACGGTAAGTCAAGAAATTGAACGATAAATGAAAACTATCGACGTCATTTCATTTATCGGCTATCGTCTCTGCCTGTATTTTTCTCTTTCTATTGATGACGCTGGATGAGAAGCCTCAACTCTGGTGCTATCCACTGACCCCTCCCTTCCTAAAAAATGAGGAGGGAGGATTAGTGGACTATTGCATCAGGTAGTAAGTGCTCGGATCGCTTTGTATTTCTATTGCTTTAGAGCCCCGTGAGGAGTTAGCAAAGCAAAGAAACAATATCTCAAAGCTCGAAATGGAACCGGTTTCAAAGCCGAACGCAACTGCAGCAGTGTGGGACTATTTCGGATTCAAACCAAATGACCGAGGCGAACCGCTGAACCTTTGCGAGCCGGTATGTCGCATTTGTCATAAAACAGTAGCAACTAAGAGCAACAATACAACCAACTTGCACGTGCACCTAAAGCACAACCATCCAGCAAAGTTTTTAAGGCTGGGGACAAAAAATACAACCGGTGGCCCGTGTCCGTCTTTAAGTTCGCGACAGTCCACTGTCTTTGAAGCAATTAATCGAGAAATAGCGTACAAAAAGGACGGCGCAAAGTGGAACGAGCTCACAGACAGCATAGTTCGATTAATTGCTAAAGAGATGCTCCCATTTAATATAGTTGAAAAGCCAACATTTCGAAAAATGTTGCAAACATTTGATAGACATTACAAAATCCCCGGAAAAACATACATATCACAAACAGCAATTCCACAACTGTACCACAGTATTAAAGACGACGTACTGAAGGAGATAAAAGACATTTCATTTTACTCTGCTACGTCAGATATGTGGTCAAGTTCAAATATGACCCCTTATATGAGCTTGACCATTCACTATATAGCTGCTGACTGGACCCTGCACTCTAAATGTTTAGACACCAGATATGTCCCAGATAACCATACTGTTGACATCCTGGAAGAAAACCTGAAATCTGCTTTAGCAGACTGGGGACTGGATGAAGACAAACTGGTCTGCATTACAACAGACAATGGTGCTAACATTGTCACTGCAATAAGAAACCTTGGCTGGCCATGGCTCAACTGCTTTGGCCACAACCTCCACCTTGCTGTTTCCCATGGTCTAGACCAGTGCTTCTCAATTATTTTCCGTTACGCCCCCCCCTAGCAAGAAAACTATTCGCGTCCCCCACTCCCCACCGTGACTATCCATCTCTGCATAACATTTTTTCCTTATTAACATTAAAGAAAAAAAGAAAGACATATGGTCAAACTTACAAAGAATAACTTTATTAAATTGTGTTTTAAGTCTGCAACAGAAAAGATTTTAAGTGCATCAATGCCTGAAATTAAAAATAAATAAATCCATGTCTACTGCTGCAGGCAGTATCAGCTCCTCTGCTATGGTGTGGGGCTTTTTGCACTGCGCAATTTGGTACGCCACCTTATATGATGCTAGCAGCGCTCGATGGTTTACTGAAGTAGCCTTCACAAAGCGGGATGACTGTTGGCAATATTCAGCACGTTTTCGCTGAAAAAACTCTAGCGGCTTATCGGCGTGATTGGGATGTAACGTATTTAAGTGACGCACTAATTTATTTGGCTTCATGCTGTCCGCTGCGAGCATTTTTAGACAGCAAACACACCGGTCTTTCCTCTTCTCCAACTGTAGTCACAGTGAAGCCAAGCGCTAAATAAGATTTGTCGTATTTCCTCTTCTTAGCTTTCGGTTGACTTTCTGTTGTCTCATTATCTTTGTCTCTCTCCGCTTTTCTTTTCATCCCTGTTAAAAACTTTTTCATGTTGGGGGTTGTTGAATAACGGAGGCCATAGACAGAACGCAGTCGGAGCTTTTTGTTGACTTAACACTGCTAACCAAGGCAAACCTGTTTCTTGTAAGTCGTAAAATGTTGCACTGTCGCAAACGTGACAGAAGTAACAATGAGAGCGCCACTGCCGCCTACTGTGCGCAATTACACTTTCTACTAGTACGGCCAAAAAAAAAAGCCTGTTCCCCAGGATCACACGCGCCCCCCAAGTATCGCACCGCGCCCCCCAAAGGGGGCCCGCCCCACTATTTGAGAAGCACTGCACTAAGCAAACAAACTGAGGCAAAGACAGGCAAACACTTGTCTAGGCATAAGCAAACATTCGTTTTATTTCTGAAACCACTTCCGGAGACTTTATTTTGAAGCGCTCCACCGGAAGCAGTTAGTTCCACTGCGCATGACTTGTCGGTTCGAACCTCGGGAAGAGCGGGTGGGGCTGCTCTCCTGCTCCTCTCTCCTCCTTCCCGTCCGATCCGCTCACAAACGGCGCTGGTAACAAAGACGAGACAACAACAAGGGGGTGATGGGAGGGCACACAGCACGGCCCACAGAAAGACATTCACGAATTGAATTGATATCACCGGATATATACAGATATATTTTTGTCATTTTCAACGACCGTTGTTGAAGTTGTTCTCGTGACGCGAGCGGAGTTCACTCCGAGCGGCTTTCTGACTTTCCAAAGAGAAGTAGATCAAGATGCTAGACCCGAAAAACCAAAGCGGAACATTCAAAACCTTGTTTTGGTAAGTTTTTTTCTTATCTTTTATTTTCCAGTTTAAATAGTACATTTGTGGTTGTGTATGTAGCTCGTGCATGTCAGTTGGCGGAACACCTGTTCTCCTATGGAAAACAACTACTTGTCATAACTTTACACGACATTATAATCTTGTTTTATTTGAAAGAAGTGACATTTGTCCCAGTCTGTAACGAAATTTTATGGTTTTGTTGTTGTTTGACATAAAAAACACATAACCCAATAATGAACGTGTGCAATAATTCCTATGCTTTTCTTCATTTTAGACCAATTTTTATTAATATGTAGTTACCTCTCAGGGTTTAGCTTTTTATTTAGCAACCTTTTAATGTAATAAATCAAAATTTCATCGCTGTATAATTAATAGCACATCCTGAAGTGGTCTTCTCTCAGTGGCTACAGCCAACATGTCAGCAGGAGTGTTTCCATGTTTTTCCTGGATTCTCAGCCCTCATCCCTGCCCTTTTCTTCGCCCTCCTTCCTGAAACACCTTTTTCGCTTTCCCTGCCCAGAGTGGAGGTTACTCACTCTTCACATGCACTGCAAGCTCCCTCCCCTCCAGCCACTTCATTTCAGACACTTCAAACAGATGGCGAACTGTGTCCATCGCACACAAAAGGAATTGTGTTCAAAGCCGCCTCTCTTGTTCTCAAACTGGGCTACTTTAGGGTATCACACCAGTTGTGTTGGATTTAGTAAGACAAATAGTATTACAATAAAGTCCACTGACCTGCCCTGAGTAAGTCCACAAAACTGTAAACAGCTGGAGTGGGCTATTGAACTAACTGGGTCATTGGGGCAAAGAGACACAAAAGGGGTAGAGTGTGTCTAAAAGAGAGAATAAAGGGACTTGTTTTGTTCTTCATCGTCTTAAAACACTATCACAATGTGTTATCCCCAATGCCTGGATTAAACACGCCCTTCAGTTTAACGTTTATATGTCACTGTGTATAATGAAAATAACCAGAGGGCCAAATCTAAAACCTGGGAAAGACGCAACTCCACCCTACTCAAACCTGCTGCTGTTGTACTTCCTCACCTCAAGTTGACTCTAAAAGATTTTCTTATTGTTGTGAATTGAAAAATAATCATCTTGTAATATTATCTTCAATGTGATTGTGACATTAAACTCTGCCTCCTTATTGGAAGTCAACATGGCTCTTTCCAAACTGGTCTGACTTGCTGGTGCACCTTTTTTACATACTGGTTGACAAACACTTGCAGGTCAAGAACATGTTGTATTGGTTTTCTTTACAGCAATGATTTTATTTGCAGTGCAGTTTTAATCACTTTTAGGTAAAAACTAAAGCCAATTAACATTTTAGTTGTACTTACAAAAAAAACATAGCTGTGCAGGTTTTTTTGTTAAATTGTGGAGACCTAATTGAAACAAAAAGAAAACAAAAAAAGGATCCTTCTTCATTAAAGACATGATACTCCTTAGAAACTCAAAGTATCAAATTAAAACATAGGGTCCCTTTAAAAATGTCTCTTAACTCCTTGACATTAATTAAAATTGCTCTAATTGATTCACTCTAAATGGTCTTTAGATCAAGCTAAATGTTATTTAATCTCCTTTTCTTACCTTAATGCACCACTACACTAGAGTGCTTAAGCTAGCACCATGCTGCTATTTTCAGCAACCTTCACTGAATAGCATCAAAGTAGTTGTTAAAATCTCTTCCCAAGTTGTTTAAATGATAATTGTTCTGAATCAAGGGAATAAATTCATCTGTGTTCATATGGGATTATTCACTATTTTCAGTGCAGTAATTCCACTTAAAATGTACATACCTTGTCATTATTACTGCAGCTATGTGCTAGGTGTTTGTGTGTGTGTGTGTGTGCATGCGTGTGTGTGTGTGTGTGTGTGCATGCGTGTGTGTGTGTGTGTGTGTGTGTGCATGCGTGTGTGTGGGTGTGTGTGTGTGTGTGTGTGTTTTTGGAGCTATCTTTCAAAGCGGTGATAGCATCTTTATGCAGCATGACTCAGAGGATGACTAACCCCTGTTCGCTTTGGATTTACCAGCTTCTTCCCTCACGTCAAATACATATTGTGAGGAGAATCTGTAGTGTGAACATTTGGTCTTCCACATCAAACACATTTCACTTCAGTGTCATCATATTTCTACCTTAAGAACTGTTAATTTTTTTTTCTTTGCAAAAGTATTCATACCCATTCAACTTGTCAAATTTTGTCTTTTTTTTTTTTTTTTTTTGGCGCCAAGGTAAGAAAAGGAGATTTGTCTTTGGAATTTCATGCGATGGACCAACTCAGAGCTCTACATAATTGCAAAGTGACATAAAATAAAGGAAGTTATGGACAACCTTGACCATCCTCTTCATGAGCCAGTCATTGAAAACCATCATGCTCTTCTTGAAATTTGTTGTGATGCAGACCGCTATAGGAGATCTTTCCTTTCCACAGCCATCACCAGATTTCCAACAAAATTTACAGTGTTTTCCCTTTAGGCCCAATAAAGTATTTTTGAATTTAATTGAATTTGAATAAGTAAATCTCTGACAGGTTCTCTCTCTCATTATTGTGGCATTTAGCAAATACAAAATAATTTTGGTAATTCCAACTGACCAACGTTGTTGGTTAATAAGAGGATTAGGAATATGTTGAAGATTATTGGCATATTTTGGCACAGAATCAGTGGATAAAATCAGAAAAGCATTTTAATGTCTGGTTCCTAACATTCCTAATCGTACAACAAGGAAGTTAAATGTCTTTTTAGTTTTTCAAATGCTGGTTAAAGCATTAATTGCCACTGGGTAGTGCTAGAAAAAGTTCAGAAAATTTGACTTCTCTGTCATGTAAATTCTGCCTTTACATGACAGAGAAGATTTGAGATTTGTTTCGTTGTTCGGTTCATACATTCATATATTCTGTGTAGTTTGTAAAGCACTCGAGGGATCTGGAGAAACCCCACCAGAAGGAAATGTGATGCAGAAAGTTCCCATGCAAGATCTGAGCCTGGAAACTCTTTAGTCCGATTAGCACTGGGATTACCACTGTGGTAATAACAAAAACATTTTCTTTTTGTCAAATATAAGAAATATAAAAAGAATATAAATGCTGTAGCTGTGTTCAAATTTAAAAAAGCATTTTGCATTTACTCCTGTTATCCAGTCTGATATTGTATTTATTTAATGATCTCAAACATTTAACTTAAGAAATCTTTGGGAGGGAAATACTTTTTCACAGTGCTTTACACCTCTACTCTGCTGTGGTTTTGAAAAAATAAATATATAGTGTTGCCCTTTTATGAAATGTGAGTGCTGCAAAAACACAAAGACAAATCTAACATAAATGCAACTATTTAGCACAATATAGGAGCTTGTTTTAAATAAACAATGAAAAAGATTATTGGCAGATTATTTCATCTATAGTAGACACTTTTTCATCAAAATTAAGGAATTATTCACTTAAGCTTCTAATGATAAAACGTTGCTTATAAATTAATTTTGTTTTATTTCAAATGTATTCAAGGCATTTGCACTAGAAAATCAAAATACTTGGTAAGATTTTGTGGGATTTTTTTGCAGTGTGATATTACTGATCAATATTTTTTCCCTGATGCTGCTGAAACTAAAGGGCTATAAAGTAGTAAATGAATAATTAATGCAGTGCTTTCAGCTGTGAATAATTAACATTGTAAAAAGTTTCAGAAGAACATGAAGGAATCTGAATCAGAAACAATGAAAACGTCACAGGATTTGTATCTGTAGCGATGCAAACAGAATAATCAATACCCAGTTGAGCTGGTTTTGACGTTATCTTGAGTTTAAAATAGGTGTTCAGTGGAAAGGAGTGGACCTCAAGCAGAGCAGATCCTGTGTTCTTCCTCAGACAGATTTATAGCTCAGAGCTCAAAGTCTGAATCCAGGATCACATCCTGATGTCGCTGAGTCATGAGTCCTTTATTGCCCTATTGTAAAAAGTTGCTTAAGACACTCATTAAATGTTCCTTTTTGCCTTTATCTTTCATCAGGTGATGATGAAACTCCCATACATCCCAGTCCTCTGACTCTTTCCTGAAACCGAAAGCAATCATCCGCTGCGATGTCTGACCAGGAACGGCCTGTGCCGTCCCTCAAGCCAGAGGTCAAACCAAAACCAGAAATCCCTCTTAGATTGCTACGTAGGTCCTCCTCTTTAGTTGAGGGAGGAGACTCCACGCAGGGAAAGGTGAAGAAAATAGCAAAAAGGTTCACCAAGCAGGACTCCATCAAAGCAGCAGGAGAGCAGCCGGTGAATGGTGCCGCAGAACTCTCGCCAAGTACGCAGGTGAAAAAATCACCTGAGACAAGACCCAAACCTGACAGCATCGTCTCCAAACCCGAGGCACCGCCGCTCCCCAAGAAGAGGAGCCGCTTTGTGCAGAGACGAGCGGAGAGCATAGGAGAGGAGAGTGAAGGCATGAACATTTACAAACGACGATCAGGTACGGCAACCGAGCAAGTCTGTGATTCAAAATGGCGGGATGTGTCTTGGTGCATCCTGAAACATTTTCTGGGAATCTGGGTATTTTTCTAAGGGGTCATTTTATGTTAGCCCCTTCATCAGTCGCTCCTGATGAACAAGCCAGAAATCTGTTGGTCAGAGAGGTAGTGCTCTGGGAAATATCTGATGACTGAAATGAATTTGTGAATGTGCTAAAGCATCTCAATTCCACTTTAAGTTTTGTTCCAGTACACCCAGGTCACCTGTTCTAAAATAAAAAAAAAAACATTTCCGTTGGTTTAAGACTCTTCCTCTGTCTTCTTAACCAACCAAACTTTTCCTCCATGCAACGCATTGCACTAACCGAAACCACTAGTATCAACGTAGGACCAAGGCTTTCACTTGCAGTTATAATTATCAAACATTTGGTCTTTAATGTAAGTATGAGACCACAAAAACTGTATCTCATCTTCATGTTATGCCCCATGTGATTCTCAGTTCCTGTATCTTCCAACTGTTTCACACACAACTTGCAGTTTAGCCTGAGCTGATAGCAGTTTCACATTGAACTCTGAACGCAGGCTCGTTTTAAACCCATGCTTAAAATATATTTGACAAGAAAAAGTTTCATTTACTCTTTCAAGACTCTTCTTTCAGTGCATTTTAGTAAGCAACACAATTTGTTATTTTCTTTTTCCAACTTTTAATACACAAAAAAGCAAAATAAGCTGAAAAATCTAATAAAATGCACATGCAGCGTGAAGCATGGAGGAGCACTTAGCAGTCTGGTATGAATTGTTTTCACATCTAAAATGTACAGTAAAGTCAGGGAGCTGACAGACAGATAGATGGACAGGTTCGGCACTCTCCACTTTTCTGCTCTGACAGTTGTAAACAGGTCAGTCAGCTCAGCTGCTCTGCCAACCCGACTGACTGACTTTAGACAAGGAACAGCAGAGTCTGCTTCTGCTCCTGAGAACCACAAATATTTATGACTCGGGTTAGATATTTAATAATCTAACCTCGGTAAAAATGAAACAGTTGTTATATAATCGTATTTTTGCTGAGGTTCATTAATAGGTCACATGATATTTCATGGATTACTTTTGCCTTGATATAACAAGGGAATCTCTTAGCATATTTTATACTCTGTTTTTTGTCACAAAACCACTAAAGTCTTCTGTTTAGTGACTCATTCTCACAAATAAAACAGCTCCTAAACTTGAGGGATTCCTAATTGCACCGCTAATGGTGACAGCATGTTGGAGTAGCTCAGTAACTTCCGATATATTCTTTTTGTTTTGATTTTATCGTTTTTACAACTAGGAGTTGATTATTGACTCAAAAACTTGTAATACCTGAACTATGACCCCAAATCCCATGACCCCCAAAGTGTTGAAAATTAAACTTTGTGGCTGTAAACAGAAGCAGAAGTTGACACCATCTCTTCCATGGATGATAATGGACTTGGGACTGGTGGAGGCTGAGGATTATTTTGAGGTAAAGGTTGACAGAGAGAAATTTAAATAGGAGTGGCAAGAGCTGTTTATAAATTTGAAAGCATGCACTGCCAAAAAGTTCAGATGACCTGAAAGTACTGGACGGGAAATGTCCAACATGTCAAAGACTAAGGACATACTGGACACGTCCAGTATGTCAAAGGCCATATTTTCCTGTGGTTCTGTGGAAAAGTCCTTGTTAAAAAAATATAAATATCAGTTTAGTGTCTGCATTCATAAATATATCCTCCTTTTGAGTAATAGAACTGCAGCTTGTGGATATGTTTTCTTCTTTTTGGACTTTTTCTGGAGCTCTGCATGTAGATTTAAACTACGTTATTTCACATTCAAAGTATTACTGCACTAATGGATGAGATTTTCTATCTAACATGATCTGCCTTTGCCAAAGGTGGCCAACCAGCTCAGGGTTAGGAATGAGGCACTCTGTCTAGTAAAGGAGAAGCTAAGGTGCCAAAATATGAAGGTAAAGCCGCTGATCCGCATTCCAACCCTCGCCTACGGTTTTATGTCTGAGATCTACGTGTAAGATTTCAGCTGTTTGGGAGGAGTCTATTGGAGGAGCTGCTCTTTTCCTTTTGAATGAACCAGTTTAAAGGGTTTGGACATGAGCCACATGCCTTCAGGATGGCTTCCAGGGGCGGAGTTGCAGACATGTCCCACTGGGGGGAGGAAGCCCCTGGCTCCACTGACCTAAAAATATTGAATTGTTTCGGTGCAGGAACTGTAGGAAATAGCCAGGGGAAGAAAAGCAATCAGCTTTTAATAATTTTTTTCCCCCTCTTATTGTTGTTTTCATGTTGACTTTCTGACCTCTATTAGTTTTTTCCTGGAATGCTCCAACTATTCTCGCTAAAGAGAATCATGTACAACATTACTTTATTTGCAAATGTATTCATAACCTTTAGCATTACATAACAACCACAGACCTCAATGCATATATTGAGTGGTAGACCAAAACAAAACAAGTGTGGTAGAAAACTGACTCTACATCACTGCTCTCTGAACACACTATCACTACAATAAAACACGGTGGTAGCTGCATCATGCTTTGGAGATGCTTTCTAGAGCTAAATCCCATTTAGAATCTGTGGCGAGACTTTAAAGATAGATGTTCACAGATGCTCTTCATCAAATCTGTTTTGCAAAGAGTGGTGAGAAGAGTTCAGTGTCTAGATGTCTTCCCCCAAAAGACTTGCAGCTTTACGTACACTAAAAGCTTTTCCTGCCAGAGAGCTGAACGCAAATCTTTCCACTTGTCAATTATGCATTACTTTGTCTTGGTCTCTGAATAAATTCTGACAAAATACGTTGAAGCTTGTGGTTATAAAATATAAAAAAGGCTTAAAAGCTATGAATACTTTTCCCAGAAACTGTAGTGATGAAATGCAGAAAGCTCATTAAAAAATGTCAAAAATGGGGGTGGAGGGCAAGATGGCATGAAACCAGTCAAAAATGAAGTTCTACCTCTTGTGTGTCTCCAGCACCTGATGGGAAGGAGGTGGAGGATCAAGGGACAGGAGCGGCTGAGGCAAACGCAGAGGACATGCTATATACTCCTCTCAATAGGTGCTGCAACAAATCCTGCACCTGCGTGTGTCACCTAAAGAGACCCGGCATGAAGCTCATATGGGTGCCTGTGGATGAAAACTCTCCAGGTGGGGAGGGTCAGATCAACGGGGAAGAGCGCAGAGAAGAGAAAGATATGATGGGACAGAAAGCAAATCCAAAGAGGCGCTGCAAAGAGAGCAACAGGAAGTTGGAGGACAGGAACAAGAATATGAGTCTGAATTACCAGCATGGAAGACGGAGGGGGAGCTGAAGGCAGCAGGGAATAAGGTGGAAAAGAACCACTCAGAGAAAAAGAGGGATGAACACGATGAAAAGAATGAAGTGGAACAGCAGAAAGGAGAGAAAGCGTTCAAAGAGGGGATGGAGGGAGAACCAAAAGAAGCAGAGAAAACAGTGCATGTTCAGAGAGAAGAGACAGAAGCTGAACAGCCAAAGGAGATTGAAGTGAATGCAGCAGATGGAGCACATCTTCCACAGGTTGTGCTCCATCCTGTGGAAGATGATGGAGAATCTGGTGGGAAGGTTGGTGAGAAGATTAAAGAGGGAGAAAATGAAGTGAAGAATGCACCAAAAGATGTGAAAATGGCAAAATCACAGTTCCATCAGTCTCTGGAAATTGCGCTGGCTGGGGGTCTGAAAAAACTTTCAGAGCACGGTTCTGTGGCTGCCATTACTCGCTGTCAGCCTTTACTTCAAAATAATCCTCAGCCTCCACCGGTCCCAAGCCATACCGCAGAAGATGATGAGGGGAGTAGTATCTACGAGCGCCATTTACCTGATGATGATCGGGGCGCGAGAAAACTTTCATCTTCGAGGGTTGACTTGCATGAAGTTCCTCAAAAAAATACGCCAACCAGCTCGACGGGAGAAACCTGCCCGCAGCACCTCGAACGCCACACCTGAGCTTGAGAACACAACGGAACCACCCGCCATACCACCAAGGGTCCCTGTGAACGGTTCTCCGATCTACAATGGCAGCAACCTCACACCCAGTCGGGCCAGACTGCAACCCCCCAAAACATCTCCTCCGTGCAGCCCTCTGCTTCCTCACAGACCCCCGCCGGCTCCACCGAAGACCCACTCCAGGAGGACCAGCAATGTGTCGATACAGTCTGCCAGCTTGTCAGGTTTGTACTTTAAGCGAGATCAGAATCTCCTCTTGTGCTGAATTGCTCGTTATCTGAACCAATGCTTGTTTTTTTTACAATAGAAGAAGAAAATAAAAGTAATGGAGAGAAAGAAGACACAGACCCGTAAGTTTTCAAGTTTTGTATTATGTATCTGAGCTGTTTTATAGCTTTATCAAGTAACTACGTTACCTCCAGTTGTTATGAAAATGTTGCGTCAAACATAACTTTTAAAAATTTGGCTTTTTGATTTAACGCCTCAAAATTGGCCTCTGTCTCTTTAAGAAGCTCATGCCTTTCCAATGCCCTACCTTCAGCACTTTGTCACAACAATGCTCCTCTGTTATGCTGTTTATAAACCGTTCTTAAGAGCGTTGGAATGTTTTTGTTGAGGAAATAACATTATAATGTGATATAAAACTCATAAAAGTCAATTTTCCATAACAACCCCTCTATACATAGTCCATGTGAACAGACTACAATTGGTAACAAACCATTTCTGACCGACATTGTGATTTTTCTAAGCAACAATGGGTGATTACAACACATGATGTCACTGATCCAACAGTTCCCACAAAAGTAAAAGAAGCTGTGATAACTGTTCACGTCTCACTTTGTGTTTTATGTTTCAGGTCTCCAGTCAGAAGGAAGTCTTCATTCAGGTTGTGCCTGACAGACGGTAAGGCTCAGATACATCAGTAAAGTGTCATTATTAACACAAGTGATCCAAGTTGCAAGTGGAGCTGAAAGCACGTCTGGTTAAATGCAAGTCTGTATAGCAACTTCTTCTGGTTGTGTCTGTGTGCAGATAAACAATAGCCTTGCACAATGAGACGCATCCTATTCAGTGGTTCATTTTATTGGGATTTTATGGTTTACAATAGTTTAGATCAAAGCATTTTCATATAATAGGAAGGCCTAGTCAAAGACCAGACCTAACTCCTATATGAAATCTATAGCAAGACTTAAAATATTGGAGTTCACAGATGCTCTTCTTCCAATCTTACTGAGTTTGATCTGTTTCAGAATGAAACTGAAACCATGTTTCATTATACAGGCTACTTACATAGTATTTACTTTGTGGACGTCATGCAATGCTAGATAAATATCAAAGGGAAGTTTATCGGTTTGTTTTATTTTTGTTTACACTTTGGACGCCGTGTGTAGACAGAAATACACCTAGCTGTCACCTGTGTTGTGTTTGAATATAAATAAGGTAATTGTTGCTTTTTAATTGAAGGGATTCATGTTCTTTTCTTAACCATGTCTTTGTAACAATGCAAACTAAACTCATCCTAAACGTGGATTTGTCTCACCTCAGCCTCTGTACCAAACGTACAACGACTTCGCAATCCAAAAGGAGATTCAACGACAGACCGTAATCCGAAACATCAGCAAAACTAGCATGGATTATGCTATGGAATTTGTGGCGCACTTCAGCGAAAAACCATCTGGGAAGTCAAATGTCGCCAGAGGGAGCCCTGTGCCCACTGTGAGCCCTGTGCCCACAGTGAGTCAACCCACCTTGTGGCAGGAACAGCCAACTGTACAGGACAGTGGACTGCTGGAGCAGCTCACTGTTGACCAGATCAAGTATCAGGAGGTGAGGAGGACAAATACGCTGAAAGCAGGCCAATTATTATTTACAAGTCATAGTCTTACTTTTTAAAAGTGACTCTCATGTATTTCATAGAGTCCTTTCACTTTTCATGTTTTAGCAATATCTGTGTTTTGAGTGTCGGTGACTGTCACATGAGCAGTTTTTCCCATGACTGTTACCATAATGTAACACATGACACATAGCGCTTTATGTTTAATGAATTGATATAGCAGGTACATGTGGATCCTTAATAGGTCTTAAAACATCTTAGATTAATTTACCTAAATTAAAACCTTAAGAAGTCTTAAATTCATTGAAAAAGGCTTTAAATATGTTAATCACAGGTTTTTAATTTGTTGTGGAAGGAATATTTCATTTTGTATATTCTATGTAGTTTGCTTGTTTTTTTTTTTCATGGAACTTTGCTGTTAGACAAACATTTGCTTGGGACAGAGACATCGTCTGTGACTTGGGACGGTTACGTCTACCGGTCCTTAGCTGCTAATATAGCCTTACTAACTAGCCAGGAAAGGCTAGCTAGCTTTTTTGAGTCTATTATGGGTGATTTCTAATTTATCACCAGTTGGCTGGTTAATGTACATCTTAGCCATTCGCTGTTGACAACCCATACAATTTATGTGTGATTTTCTTTTGTACATTTTGTACAATTTCTAATTGTATTTCTAATTTCTTAAAAGGGCTAGGGAAGTTAGTGAATCATGGATAAAACGTGTATAAAACACTTTACTTTTTAAAGTAAGCTGTTGATACAATATTCTAATATATTGAAATATTTACTCACTTATTGGTAACATTTCGGTGGAAGGATCATCTTAAGTACAGGATGTTTGGCAGTTCTTGGAAACATAAACAAGACTGGAGAAGTAATGTAACTTTGTTCTAAGTTTCAGTGTTTGACTTTGATTCTTCTTGGCAGAGCATGTTTGAGGTCCTGACCTCCGAGACTTCCTACCTGCGGTCCCTCTACGTTCTGACTGAGCACTTCATGGAAAACCGGGAGCTGACAGAGACAATCATCATTAGTGACAAGAAAACTCTCTTCTCAAACATCCTGAAGGTCCGCGAGGTCAGCGAAAGGTGAGAGGTCACACCATGAGAAATGCAGAAAAGAAATCCTGATGCAGCTGGAGCTCTTATCTGGAGATATGTCATAAAACCTTTTGCTGCAGGTTCCGGAAAGACCTCGAAGAGCACATTTTCAAGGAGATTGTTTTCCCAGATATATGCAACATCCTCCACTATCACGCCCAGCACAACTTCTCCACCTACATCGACTATGTCCGCAACCAGACCTACCAGGAAAAGACCTTCAGCCGACTCATGTAAGAAGCAACTTTCACATCACCAGAAACGATCAGCAGCTGTTTGGAAGGCCAGCAAATCAGGGTGACTTGCAGGAACACTAAAGCTGATGCGACGTAATCTGATTTTCTGCGTACCTGCAGGAAGACTAATGAACAGTTCGCCACAGTCATCAACCGCCTTCAGGAGCTGCCTCAGTGTCAGCGGCTGCCCTTCATCTCCTTTCTGCTGCTGCCCTTCCAGCGAATCACACGCATCAAGATGCTCATCGAGGTGAGCAGCATCATGCTGGTTTGGATTTTAAAGACAGAAAAAGGGTGGAAGTCTGAGTTGTGCTTACACTTTAAACTTTAAGCAGTATTTGCATCATAAAATAATTGCAATCTAAAAGATTGTCTAGTTCATAAAGAGCTACATTTGTAGCTCTCTCTCTAAAAAAAATATCTACGCCTTTTAACTTTGTTTCAGATTTAAATGAAAATGACAACCTACCAGGGTCATCTGCTGCGTCTGGAGCACATAATAGAAATTATGGGTTTCTGCTGTAAAATACATCATGTTGCATTTATCACAATATCTAGAGACATTCACTCATTTAAAAACACACCAACAACAGGCTCTGGCACACTATTGTCACTGTTCTAAACCTTTGTTCTAAAGGGAAATAATACACTTATAAAAGTTGATCAAGACGACTATTAAAGTAAATATGAAATAGTTGGAATATTGAAATATGAAGAACATGGGAAAGTAGGCCTCTTCACAACTCATATTATTTAGCTAAATCTATAAAAATATCAAAGATAACTCATGGCTGTTAGCTGAAAGCTTAGTAAACAGCGGATGATAATCTGACCAGTGAGTTTACAGTACATGGCAAATTATGCAGGATTTCAGGTCCTGTGTCGGGTATTTCCTGTACGTTGTTCCCTTAGTTTTTGAAGACATGATTCACCATTTGTCTGATGGTATTTTCCTGTTACCAGAGAGTGAAGTTGCATTGAGCGTCACAAAAAAACACCTGGAAATAATCTAGACTATTTAGACGTCAACAGAAAGTCTTGTTCATTGGGTTCAAAGTGTAAAAAAGAAAAATGATGGGTGGTTTAAAACTTTTGCAAAAAGTTGCATAAAAAAACATATTTCACTCATATATGTGTGCCAAATGTGTTAAGTGTGATGATTATGATGTTCTGTACAGGTGACATATATTTCTAAACGGGTTTGTTCGGCTCTGGGTTAGGTGGTGAGCTGAAGAATTCAAACAATTAGCTCCCAAAAGCTTTAAATATTTTCCGTCAGCACATTCAGAGCCGGTGACCCTTCCCGGTCTCGATTATTTCCTTTAACCAGTCGGTGTGTTCATCATGCTGTGTGACTGTGAGGAATGCTTCACTCCAAAGGAATCCTCGCTGCCTCCTGACACACGTGGCTCGCCTCACCTCCACCACGCGACCTGTTCAGGATACGTATGGAAAAGAATGAGCTGCTTTAAGAAAAGCTTGTTTGTTGTTTCAGAACATCTTGAAGAGAACAAAAGAGGGGACGCTGGAGGAGCAGACCGCCTCCAAGGCGCTGGCCTCTGTCTCTAAGGTAAACAGGCCTTACTCTCCACTTTCCCCTCTGCTTTACATGACTGGAAACCTTATATTAGCTATAGTGTTGGAGGCGGATATCCTGCTGAGTGAGGAATGATTTAAAGTGGCAGAGGGAGTTGTTTTATAGAGCAAAATAAACATTTTGACTTTTTATTTCCCTCTTGATCAATGACACAGATCATTGATCAATGTAACAGAGACGTGGGAAAGATGAGGCAGATGGAGGAGCTGATTGAAAATCTCGAAGATGCTTGAGTTCGATAAGCTCAGGGTAAGCGCAGACAGGGATGCCTTCATTATGTCCGTTTGGTTAATTATGAAGAGTTTAAACTGCATTCTGTCCTCACCAGGCCGTCCCCATCATCTCTGAGACTCGATTTCTGGAGAAGAAGGGAGAGCTGCAAGAAATGTCAAAAGCAAAAACCTTTGTGAACATGAGAGCCAAGTTCTCTGCGGTTTACCTCTTCCTTTTTAACGACCACCTCATAATTACCGTCAAGAAAAGGTAACATAGAAAAGCTTTTGAAGAAACTTTATCTATGATGCATTAAAAAAATACTACTTTCTACTGAATTCAAAAACCGACATGCACTATAGAAGATGTACCTCTTTTTTTCCCCCACTATATAATCGTCTTTACATAACCATCAGAGTGAAAACAGGCTACCTTATTAATTACCACTCATGACTTGAAGAACTTGAGCAGTGTTTAACCACCTTTGCTGTACTGCTGGTCTCACAGAAGGTTGAAAATGGTCTGAAGTTTTTTTTTCCTTTGGCTCAGCTTCAGTATTCAGAATCAGTTGGGAGATTTCTCCCGCTGTTTCCCCTCGTCATGCTGCCGTCATAACATTCCACCTGTGAAAAAATGTGACTACAAACCACTGCAGGCCTTCGACTTTCTGTCACCACTCATGAATTGACTCAACACTTCCTCAAATGTAGCAGGAAATGTTTTCAAAGGCATTTAAGAGAAGAGGCATCTGTGACATGTCTGCTTGCTTTGTATTGTTTATTGTTGTGTTTGTTTTGTTTTTTGGAATGAATTAAATTCCAATTAAACCTCCTTTCAGCTGTTTGCCGTTGACTGAGCTCTGCTCTCTGGTTCTGGTTTGTTGTGAGCAGTTCAGACCGGTACGTGGTGGTGGACCACACTCATCGATCTCTGGTGCAGGCTCAGCCTTTGGATGAGTGTTTTGGTGGCGCAGCCTACGAGAACTGCTTCAACCTCGTCATGCTGGAAAACCACCAGGGACGCCCGATGGAGCGGGTCCTCAAAGCCCCGACCAAGTGAGTGTTTATGTATAAAAGCTAATCCCAATAAGCTTTGATTCAGTGATGAAATTTAAAAACTAAAACACATAAAATCATGTGTTGCAAGTGTTTCTCTTTAGTTTAATGCTCATATTGGCTCATACAGATAATTAAAAATCATAATTCTCTGAACATTTGAAAAAAAATAAGACCTTTAAAAGAGATTTTTTTTAAAACAAACATGTCATATTATAGCTTATCCATGGAAGATAAAGCCACAGAAGGTCATTGCTAAAGAAGTTTTCTCCTGTCAGCATATCGGGGGAAGTTGAGTGGAAGGAAAAGTCCTTTCAAAAGTTGATGGGGAATTCACACGGGATTGACGCAGGGCTTCAAGAGGCAATGGAAACCTTTTGGATCTAGCCAACTTCACATACTTGGAAAAAAAAAACAACTAATTGAGAAATATACGTAGACGTTGTTATTTCGAACCTGAAGATGAAATGAAGGGAAGGGTTTTCAGCAAAACAATGATCCCAAAACATAAGCCAAGAAAACTCTGAGTTGGTCTCAGAGAGAGAAAATAAAACTGCTACCTGATTGGGTGATCAAAATTTAATTAGAAATCAACCAAGAAGAGAAGAAGAAGTATCAGATGGCATCATGAGGAAAGATGCCGTCTGCATTATGTGAAAATATTAGACCAATATCAAAATATCAGCTAGCATGTTTTAATCTTAGGCTCAAATGGACAGAGATCCCAAGGTTACCAGAAAGTTGCTTTAGGACAATAAAGTAAACGTTTAGTGTAAGACAGAAAATATATAGACAAAGATGACCTACAACCCTGACTCAGTTCCACCAGGAGGAACTCAGAACTTCAGTAAAAGACAATTTCATCTAATACTGAGTAGATGTAAAGTTCTGAATTTGAAGAAAGATATTGTAGAAATCTGGTAACCTTACCTACCCCGTAAAAACATGAAATCCGATTTGTGCAAAGGATCAGTCATTCAGCGCCCCCCAAAGAGGAACATCAGTAAACCCTGACGCGTTGCATGTTAGCATATCAGAAGCTCTCATCTTGTCATTAGGAGGTGAAGAACTCCAGGCTCTACTTCAGAGTCCAGTCAAAGCTCGTTTGTGTCAACAGGTCGGACATGGAGAGATGGTTGGCAGCTTTCCCCAGCACCACCAAAGAAGACGTCGATGAAGAAGTGATTTATGAGGACTGGGGTGAGAACATTGACAAACAGACCCTGTGTGTTTGGTCTTGTTCCATTCTGACGGTTTTGTGTGTGTGTGTGTCAGATTGTCCTCAGGTGCAGTGTGTGGAGCAGTACATCGCCCAGCAAGCAGACGAACTCAGCCTGGAGCCTACTGAGATCGTTAACGTCACCCGCAAAACCAACGAAGGTAAAAACCATCAAAGACATTTTCAAAACATCATCTTTGATTCTTTTTCTTTCTGCAAATATGAGATTCAAATATAGATTGAATAATTGTATCACATGAACAGATTTGCTTTTGTTTCACTGATCTGCTCCATTCCTTGACTTTATGTGTACACCCCCTTAATCCTCAAACCTTCCTTTAGTAGTTTATTAACTTTGATTTTGACTTTCTTGCATGAAGAGAAAAACCTTCAATCTTCCCTTGTTTGCCGTCCGCCTTCTTCCCCCCCTCCTATTTTTTGTTGTTTCAACTCCAGGCTGGTACGAAGGAATGCGTTTGTCTGACAATCAGAAGGGCTGGTTCCCCGTTGCGAACGTCATCGAGATCACCAACGAGCACGTCAGGAGAAGAAACCTGAAGGAGCGCTACAGGGTCTCTCAGGCTACGATGATGGTGAAATACGGCAAGGTCCGCTGAGTACGTCTGCACCGTACATATGCTTTAAGGACAATAAGACGGAAGATCCCAGTGAACGCTGTTTATCAGCAAACACCTTGTAATTAATCCACTAACTTCTACCACTGAAGCGACGCGGAACTAAAATTAGATCTTTTATTGGAGATGCTAAAAATGCAGCATTCACTTTTAACTATGACTGGAAACTGTAAATGCCAATCATTCTTTGCATTTCTTGAGAAACCAGTTAACGTTCAGTCATGCACATTCTCACGTTTCTGCTACTTCAAACATCCTGTTGACTGTCACTGAGGCAGTGAGTGAAGATCAGCTGATCGCCTCTGGATATTTAAAACCGATTGTGCTGGAATACTACGCCTGTAAATATGTTGAAAAATGTAAATTGTAAAAGGGTGTTTTGATTAAAACTAGTGGTTGTACTTTTAATTAAAAAAATAAATTAAACTATCTTAGTCTCGTGTTTGTAAAGGGAACATTTTTATTGAACACAACATATTAATGTCACAGTACAAACGTGAACATATTTAAGATACAACTCAGTAAAAACAAAAAGAATGACATAAATTCAAGTCTTGGGGTTTTTCAGAGGATAAATTGCCCAGTTTGTGGCCTCCATTACCAAATCAAAGACTCATTCCAAAAACAATCCTTTGGTTCGACACGATCACTGGATGGCATCGAAAGTCGTCACCTCCCTGAGGCTGAGCAGAACCTGCACAGCGTCCCCTTCCAGGTCTGTCAGCGTCCGCTCCTCTGACCTGCCCTCCATCTTCTCTTGTTCCAGTTTGCTCTCAAAACCTGTTGGACATTCGGTCATATCCTCCTGAGACCCGATGTCTCCGTTCTCCTTGATGCGGCTTCCTTTTTGTGAACTGCAACAAGTCACTGATGGTGGGAAAGTTTGGCATTCTAGTTCTGTCTGAGAGGTTTGGGCCTGCAGATGATCAGGAGGCATCGCTGCGTTTCCTATTAAATCCTCCGCTTGCTGAAAGCTGCTCAATAGAGTGTTAGCAGCTTCATACTCTGCGTCTGACCATTTCTGTCGCTCCTCTGACGCATCAATGCAGAAAACCTTGTTTGCCCCCTCCAGTGAACCTGTGCTAAGATCTCTGGGATTTGACTTTAAAGCTCCTGGGAAGTCGGCCTTTGCAGCGGTGACTCTCTCCTTGCTCTGGGGCGCCTCCTGGTGGTGGAGTTTCAACAGGTTGGTAATAACCTGGTCCTCCTGCTGTGTGAGCTGGATGACCACAAACCTTGGCTGCACCTGAGGAGGGTGCATGCTCTGGAGTCTCCAGCTTGGGCTGCCCAGGTTGTTGGTGGGGTGAGGTCCGGCCCTGAATGGGTCTGGGCGGCTTGAAGGGGCGACGCAGGCAGACATGAGGGGGGGAGGAGTGTTGAGCTGGGAGCAATCAAAAACCTGATTGGAAAAGTGAAAACAATTAGCAGGCTTTATGGTATGTATTTTATAAACTCAGCATTAACACTTCTTTTCAAGATATGAGCCAAGTTTAATGTAGCAAGCCATTCTGAGAATGAAATGTTTAATTGTTTTTTGATGCAAATGATCAACCATGATTCATATCTTTTTCAGTGTGTTCCTTTCATGGGAAAACACTATTTCTGTGTTTGTCTACTGGTAATTAAACTTACAGCTACAGAAAACCTAAAATTTAGAGTATTACAGGAGACAGATAAGTTGTTTTTTTAATACAGAGATGTCAGACAAATATATTATATCTATGTTCTGTAAAGTACACATTTAGCAATTGGTCTGGGCTCCTTCTGCATTAATTACTGCATTAGTAGCATGGAGGCAATCGACTCGGTTAATGGAAGCCCAGGATGCTTTGATAGCAGCCTTTAGGTCAGGGTCAGTTCATAAAGCTTGGCAGCAGACAGAAGTCCTCTGAAATGTCCTCAGATGATGGTGGAGACTCAGGACTAAAAGAAAACTAAAAAAGTGGACTAAACCCAGCATAAGACTTGTCTCCTTAAACCACCAATTGACTGTAGAAGTTTCACACTGGACCTAAAGCAACTTCGATCATGTGAAGCTCTTCTTGCAGAAGAGACTTCAGACTTCAACATCTGAACGCAACAGCTGAACATGTCTATCACAGCTGTCTCTCCCTGTTGCATGAGCGTCTCATTTCAACCACACACTTTTGCTTTCAAAGTCGAATAAATATGCAGCCAGCTTCTTTAGCAGTGACCTTTCATGACTTCCTCTGAGGTTGCATTAACTGTCTGCAGGACAGTTGTCCTGTCAGCAGTCCTTCCCATGCTTCTGCACTTAAACTCCGTCTTTTTAACATTTTCGGAGATCTTGATGCATGGACCGACTCACCATTTTCCTACTCAGACTATTATAGATCCTCCTCCCGCAGGGCAGAGTGGGGTCTGTGTAGAACAGCTCCACAGGACTCATTGAGTACCCTGCAGAGAAATTAGCCGTCACTCATTGCTCAGACTCAAAACATTTACCTCAACATAGACGTGACTGACCGGGCGAGCGTCTCCGTGAAAAGTGGGATGAAAACGTGTGGGCACGTAGAGAGGCAGGAAGGAGGGGTGCCGCAGGGTCCTGTTGGAGATGGGTGGCAGGACGGGCTGCCTGGCTCTCTGTTTCAGGACGAACGGCCAATGAAATGAATAGACCCCGACTGAAGCGTTAAAGTCTGAGGGGAAACTCACCAACAAACGCGCTTCGCTGTAGCTCATGGTCGTCTAATTAATTCAAACGGACTCGTGCTTTCAGAACCATCAAAAGTAAACAAGCTCGTTTGTTGCGTTTCCACTGGCGACACCTGCTGGTGGAGTGACGAGACTGCGTTCGATGAAAAAAGCGCGGCAAAGGGATCGGTTTGAAAGGAGAGATCTCCAAAGCACCGAGTCTCTGTTCTACATCATGGTTTACATCACGTGTCAAACTCAAGGCCCGGGGCCAAATCCGGCCCGCCGTAGCGTTTTATGTGGCCCTCCACAGTCTAGACTAAACACTATTATACAGTTTTTATCTGTTTACTGCCAATATATATCAATCAATCTCTTCAGTTTCTTGAGAATTTAGTTGATGTATGATTATAGTCCATGATTTATACAGCGAGTAAATAAACAGTCGCATTTATTATTAGTTCTGAAGGGACTGAAAAGTCTTCAATAATAGTCATTTTAAGAATTAATTGACATATCAGTTTGTGAACAGCTTTTATCAACACATTCTGGCCAACCGGCCCTTTAAGAGCCTTCATAATCTTGATTTGGCCCAAAACAAAAATGAGTTTGACACACCTGGTTTACATCATGGGCCTCAGACTCGTCCTTCAGGGCCACTGTCCTGCAACTTTAACATGTGCCTCTGCTGCACCACCTGAATAGAATAATCAGGTCATTAAGGCCCTGCAGAACTGATCCACAAAAGGAGGCAATTAAGCAATTTCATTCCAGCGTTTTTTGTCCCTGTGGCACATCTAAGAACTGCAGGACAGTGGCCCCCCCAGAGGAGTGGAGTTTGAGACCCCTGGTTTAGATGAGTGCTACTTGGCACCTCTTCTACACTGAGTGGAGGAAAGAATGAAGCGCAAATTGTAGTTTTCTGAAAATTTGCTTCACAGGCCAGTTTTGCCATAGGTCAAACATTGTGAGAGTGAAACTAAAATGTCAGAATTTCTTATTCATTCTGCTAAAAAAAAAAAAAAAAAAAGAAAAAAAAAAGCACATACACAATTTCAAACAGCACTTTAAGCTTTATTCAATGACGGTAAAAATTACACACATCCTCAAGCATAACGAAGTTTCTTTACTTGCAAGTTTCCCTTAGGCCCTACAAGTAGAAGAAAGAGTTAGACATGTTTAAAGCTTCAATTGCAAGAGTTTATTCACTTACCTTTACTGATCTGGCCTGGTTGGTTCTGAACCCTGTAAACTTTGATGTAACGAACAGTAGGGTAGAAAGGAGGCAGAGGCAAGCTCGAGTTCTGGTTATTTGGGGAGCAACTGCTGGAGTCACAGTAGCTGGAACAGCTAGGAGAGACATTTAGTTTAATTGACATTACTTGAAAATGCATCCAAGTTCTTAAGCAAGCAAACAAACCTTTTGTAGTTTCCACAAAAGGGATTATGTTGCCAACACCTTCTTCGTCAGATTCAAATTTGTGGAGAGAGAAGAGTCGGTAGAGACTAGCTAGTGGGTACATGCACCGCACGGTCATTCTGTGGGGGCCAGAAGATTGAGACTGAAATTAAAACAGTTCTAGAATGTGGCACCATGACGTGCTGCCTTACCCTTCAACAGCATTCTCAGAAGTGTCCAAGTAAATCTTGTTTTGATAAGTCACGGTTTCCTTTGCCAACTGAGGGGGGGGAAACAAGAGTCTTAAACACTTGATACTCTGCAGCTAGTTTTAATATTGGGTAATCGTTACCTTAACAGTGGAACCACAACTGTGAAGTGGAAACGAGAAGAGCACTCGTGTGCCATCTGCTTCTTTTGGTACACAGAGGCTGTTCACGAGATGGGAATGTGCTGGCATCTCAACCAGCCAACCGCCACAGTCATCCACCCATTCGTTGAACACACTGTTGGAAAATAGCCACAAGTTAGTATTCATAAGCCTGGCAACCTCCATTATGATAATATAACCAATATAGCTCTTACTAATGAACTCTGTGGTATTAAACAGGCACGTCTTGGTGGTGGAAGTCAGGATGTCAGCAGTTTCACGATCCCTCACAAGGATTGTAAATGTCCCGAGAAAGCCTTTCAGACCAATATCCTTCAAGAAAAGGAATTTCAATGTCAGGCTTAAAAACTCAAAACCTCCTAGATAAGCCCAGTTGCCATTTACCGTGTATTTGTATCCATGTGTGAACAGTGGAACACTGAGCAGTAGACTTTGACTGTCATTGCTCATGGTGTAGCCATGGTTGGCTGCCAGCGCTGGGGTTAGTCGGTCTGAGCCAATCATGAAATCCCACAGGTAGTCAAAAGAGCGATACGCCAACTTGAAATCAATCCCAGACTCCGTACATACCACATCAAAAGATGGAGGAGCTGCCAAACAAAACCAAGTCAGCTAAATATTTAATTTAAGGGAACCAAGTTAGGATATGACTTACGGGCAGCCATTAGTGCTGTGGCTGAGATGGTGTGGTAGTATGGCTCATCTCCAGGTGTGACAATCAGGGTGTAGTTTATGTCCAGTTTGTGCAACATGGCTGCATTCTCTTTGGAGAACTGAAAAATATATATATATACGCACAATTAGAACCATGTTTGCATTATGACCCCACTCGACAATGTTCTTAAAGACACTTACCTCCTGGATTACAATTGGGTCACGCAATGGCACCTTCAGAGTGTAGCTGTGGCTTTTGTTGGAATGTCTGACTTCTGTA